GCGGCGCATAGCGAGCGCTTTGCGGCGCATTGGGCCTCCTGGGCCGACTCTCTCCCGGTTTTGCGGGAGTGTCTGCCGGCGCGTGGGGCGGACTGGCTGCGCTGAGCGCTGGCGGCGGCGGGAGGGACGGCCAGCCCAGAGGCAGCAGTGCCAGACAAGCAGGGGGTGTGCTGGAGCAAGCGGCGAGGCGAAAACGGGAGACGACTTACTCGGAGCTGCTTACGGCACGGCGGTGCCGGCTCGTCGTTTTCGGCATCGAGGTTGGCGGCCGGTGGAACGGCGAGGCGCGGGATTTGCTCCGCGCCCTCGCCCGTGCCAAAGCGAGGGAGAGGCCTCAGTGGCTGTTGGAAGCCTTTCACCAGCACTGGTCCGGCGTCGTTGCCGTTGCGGCACAGCGGGCCCTCGCCGCCACCTTCGCTGGCCTGCCCAGCGCGGACCAGGGTGCCTTGGATGGAGCTGCGCCGCCCTTGCCCGAGGTGCTAGCGGTCGCGCACCATGAGATCCTGACTTTTGGGAGAGCCCCTCGCGCAGGAATTCCTGCCCGTTGGATTTCTCGCCGAATTGTTTTTGGCCTGCCACCGAAAAAAATGCTGATCATTGCAGATCCGCCGCCTGCATTCCTCACCGAGCTTTGCTTGATCGACAGCCAGGTCCATCCCGCAGTTGCGAGCACTGTGGAGCCTCTGCGCATGCCTTTGCCAGCAACGTAATCAAAAACTCTCATGGCCTGGGCCCCTGTCTACTGTCCCACTAAGGGCCGGTGGGATCCTGAATGGAATTGTCTTCGTTGCGGGTTTTGCTCCACCATGCAGGGGGTCCTCGGGTCTTTGCCGTTGATGTCCCGCCCTTCCTTCTCCCTTGCCCACGGGAAATGCTTCCCACCAGAATGGCTTCTAGGAGCCCGAGGAGCCCGCCAGGATGGCCGACAGCTTTCTTTGTCGGAAGCCCCACGCACCATCGCGGCCACAAGGCTCTGCCGTTTTCCTTGCTTGGGCGGTCAGGCAGTGCTCTTTCCCAAATGAGTGCATCCCTGCAACTGCTCAGGAAATGCATAAACGTAGCCCAGTTAAACTTGTCAGCGCGTGGATCGCCTAATTCGGACAGCCGTTCGCTTGCACCGCATACGGTTTTCGAGGATGCAGCATGCAGTCAGCCTGGGTGGTTCAATGGCCAAGGAAAAAACGGCCCAAGTGCATAGGTGCATCTCCCAGCGCCAGACTTGATTTTGCCAGCAGTCGCGCAAGTTTTCGTGTCGAAATATCGTTTTGTTTTTTTGCACGCGCCTCCTTGCAGCCCCCAGAACCTGGGCCCCGGGCCGCTATGCAAGCCTTTGCTGCCAGCTTGTCCACGTTGCCTTCGGCCGGCCTGTTTTGCCCTGATGGCCCGGACCCCATCGTCAGTGACGTGCTTGCCGACCGCACGCCTCCCGTGCGGGGAGGCCTGACCTTCTTTGCCAGCCGTTGTGTGATTACCCCTGGTGCAAGGATGACCAAGCGGCACCCGGGGTAACTCTGCTTTTTCTGACGCCGGGCATCAAGCCAAGTCACGGCGCTAGCGCGGAACGGCGTCGCGCGTGAGGGGCGAGACGATGGTCGTGTCGACAGCAAGCTGGGCCCCGTTCCAGAAAGGCAAGCCATTAGCTATGACCTCAATGCGTCTGTCATCTGCATTCAGGTCGCGCACAAGGGTGTTGGTGGTGACGCGCTCGCGGCAAATCCGCGCAGCGGCACGCCCAGGAGGGCAGCCACGACTGCGCAAGGCGCGAGGGAATTGGACACCGTATGCATACACGCACACACGCACAGTTCAGGTTCCCGGGGGGTCGCGTTCATTCCTGCAACTGGACCGCGCAGCCTGAGACACATGTTGCGAAAGTGAAGACGAACGCAATGATCGTTTGTGATGCTTATGCGTACTTTGCATCGACTATGGCATGAGCGAAGAAGCGTGCTTGCAAACCTTCTGCTTGCACTGCCATGCTCTCAATGGTCGTCCCTATCATACAACAAAGCGAGCACGCCAACTCATGTTTTCCTTTGCATCGATTGAGTTGGCATGATCACCGCATGCGTGTCAGCCATTTTATGCTCCACCCCATTTGCTTTTCAATAATCCGATTACCGAATCTGCCGACCCTAGCCTGGCCTCTTCGAAGCCTGTTCTCAGACAGCAAAGTGCCAGATATGTTCAGTGAGTATGTGATTCGTCTGGTTTTGAAAACATAACCGATTTCGCATACGCATTCTGCGGACGACCCGGCACCAACTTCTTGGCAACGCTGTGCCACAGCCACCTCGCGTCGGCAACTCTTGACTTGCAAAGTGCGGCTGCCCACAGCGACCACCAGCCCAGCCCCGTTTGCCCAGACGGCTGCTTTTGCCCGGCGCTGCTGCTCTTTCTTGGCTGCGGGCGCGAGCCGGGCGTACACTGCCAGCCTCTTGGCCTGGCCCGCCCGCTCAGCCGCAGGTGTTGATGAGCCACCGCCCTTGGTCAGTGACGTGCTCGCTGACGGTGGGGAGCCGTTTGCCGGGCGCAGCCGCGTCCGGTGACGGGCGCCCCCCGAACACTTGACTCCGTAAAAACAGCAGCCAAGACCTCCAGTGCCCGGAGGCGCCCCTTAAAATCCCCGTGAAACACGTTGAAGCCACTGCGGGGGAAAAAGCAGACCCCAACACGATGTGCCAGCTGACATTTGGTTGGCTCTTAACATCGCTGAGTATTCGCATAGCATACCCGTTGCTTCATGGCCAAAGCTGTGTCAGCGCAAGAAACGACAGCATCGCCCGCGTCCGCGCAGACTGCTCAAAAGGCGCCAGTCATGCATGCCCAGCCAGCAATCGCAAGGGCAGGGCATTTGTTTCCCAAATTGACCCCGGACTTGGTGCAGGAGTTAGTGGCTAAATTCCAGAAGCACTATCCAGGCGAGCTTTTGGCATGCCTAGCATGCGTTTGCTTAGCATGGCCCACGAGATGACCAAATCCAAGCCCCTGGCAACTCACAAAAAGTTAGACGACCAGCCTGAAGTCAGCGTCGACAGCTGGCTGGATGCGCCGTATACAGACCGCGTTCTGCAATGCGTTGGCACCGTGCATCTGCTCAACGCCAAGCCCGGCAATGACGCTACGCACAGGCAGACAGGAAGACCAGGGGCACCATCATCGATCTGATGCACAAGAAACGGTTCATGGACGACTCGCTCGAAAACGAAAAGGCCAGCGTCCAAAAAGGGCAAACACAGAGGCAAAAACAAAAACAAAGGCAAAGACGGATGGCATCCACGCATAACGGGGCGCCAATCTACCGCCGCTTCCAACGCGGCACATGCAAGACAGAGAGCTGCCGCTATGCGCATGTGTGTGTGTGTGCGATCAAGGGATGCCAGCAGTCCCATGGCGCGAACCAGCATCCCACCGACCTGACAAAGTTTGGGGGGAACCCCGGCTACCCCCGGACTTGCAGGCACAGCCGGCAGCATCCTTTGCATCCATCGAACCAGACAACCCAAACCAGGCATGCCGCTAGCTCCCGACCCAGCGACAACGGGCGTTTTGTCTTCCCCCCACGTAGCAGCAGAGAGACCAGGTTTAGCGCTCTTCGAGTGTAAGGTGGGCGCTGATGGCCTGAGGAGTTTATGCACCACCGGGTCGGAGTGCAATTTGAAAGCACACTGCTGGATGATGGAATCCACCAGACTACTAGCAGGGTATTCTGCCGTAAGCGTGCTCAGGAACGCGCTCCTGCAATGCTTCGATGCCTGGTGCTGTGCGAGCATCTGGCAGCCACGTGTCTGACGCACGCATTGTTGCGTGAGAAGCACCACGATTTGGCGAACAGCATGTCATGCTGACATGCATCTACCCATGCGAAATGTCCATGGAAATGTTTGAGGCACGCATTTTTTCTTTGCTGTGCTCTTCGTGAGATAGGCCTGGTACTCCTTGCATACAGGCTGGCATACGCAGTGCTTTTGGCCCCCCTGATTTAAGTGTCAACAAGCTGATCATGCCAGACCAAGAAATGCGCAGCAAAAGCTCGAACCATGCCTCATCGAGGATATCATGCTCTGGATTGGCATCCAGGTCAAGCGCCTAAAGGAGCAGGCTGTGCGCCCCACAGCCGACCACTCAATGCCAGAGCATGGCAAAATCCAACGTATCGCATTCCTCTCAGGGCGTCCGTGGCCTGAGCAAACTGTCAATGAATCCCTTTTCTCAAAAGAAGAGGCCAACGAGGCAGCACTGGGTATCCTCCACCCTGAGAGCCTGGCACCAGACACCGGCCAACTATATCGTTTAGCTGTGTTGCACGTCATCATGGCTACCGCTCCAAAAAACCCGGACCTCAAACTCACACCCTTTGTTGGCAGAAGGCCTTCTGCCAACGAGGGCAATGGCTGGAAAAGGAATCAGAATGCACAGGCAACTGGAAAGCAGCCGAATCAGAGCCAGAGGTTGTAAAGGCCTTTCTCGCAAAAGAAATTGCAAACAACTGGGTTGTTCGCACAAAACATATCGCTTGAACAAGCACGACAGCACTGGCATCGCGGCATCGCCATGGGCAAGCTGAACGTCGTACACGCAAAGGGCAAGAACCACGCTTAGTTTTAGATAGCGCTGTCTGTGGGGTAAACTGGCGCTTTGCCATCAAAAGCATCGGTAAGACATAAGCCCAAAAAACAAGACGTCTGAGCGCAATTTCTAGGCTCCAAGTCACGACGGCAACAAATTGTGACAAACGATGACAAACGTTTGCTTGAAGACCCATGTTTGGTTCCCTCTCAACGTCCATAAATGCCAACAAGTTATCACAAGTTGTCTCCGCCATTGGTCAAGCTGCACTTAAGGATGAAACCGATGAAGCGATTAGGCTAGAACTATTTGCGGGGCTCTTTGCCCACAACGGCTGATCCAGGTAAGAGGTAAGAGTGGGGAGCTGTAAAGAACAAAGCCTATCGGTACCATAGCAACGTTTTGGAAGGAGTACTATGGCCATGGCAGCCATGGCGGACTTAGGTCCTTGCAAGGTTTGCAGGGCGCCTGCTGTGGCAAGGTGCTCTCGCTGCCAAAGCGCTGTCTACTGCAGCCCGGACACGGGTGCCGAAAGTGACTAGGCTGTGGGGCATATGCTATGGCTCCATTTTAGGGTGGATGAATATCACTGTGCCGCCTATTTTGATGTTCAGAAAAAGGTACAGGGTTTTGACCCACCAGGTGTTACTGTGCGAAGCTGTGGTCAGCAAAGCCAAATGTCATGCCGAGCGGATCGGCCAACGAGGATTGCCAGCGCAGTGACTGGACGGCGCACAAAGGTCGCTGCAAAGCTGAGGCGCGGCGGCGGGCAGGTTTGCGACTTTAGGCTGCGAGGTGATCGTGGGGGGGGGGGGTTGGTTCCCATCTACTTTTAAACCTGCAAGTCCCTTCAGTAGAGTTTAGCATGAGTTTAGCAATAATAGTTGGTTTTTGGCGTGGCCCTTTGGATACGAATTGGTTTTGGCTGCTTTAATACTCCCTCGTTTCGGTATTGCAAATTCTTTATTTTGTATTCCCTGGAATTCTTCTCAGATTATCACCAGTTAGTTTAGCATTGCCAGTTCTAGGAGCCCCAAGAACCACGCTCAGATTCCCAGCCGCGCGCGCAAACTATGCCCTTGGTTCAGCGGCATTGCAAGGCTGCAACCCAATAGTTTGCGTTCCGCAAGAGACTTAACTTTGCCCTGAGTCAAGTCCGCGAGGACGGACAAAAAACGTATGGGTTCACTGGACTTACGCAAATGAGCAACCAACTTCAATCGGAATCTTACCACTGACCCCAGGCCCGGCAGCAGAGAAGGTATCCAGTTCCGCTTGACTTTGTTGCGAGACCCGTTCTCGGCTCCTCAGTTGGTAGTGCGGCTCTGCGCCGCCTGCCGCCCAGCTGAAGAAAGTATGCCACAGTGAACGCTACCTCCGGTCCAGACACCTGGTGTTCTGACAGGGCCGCTTGTTACAACGTGTTGTCCTGCGAACGCACCGTTGCAGAGCACAGCCAGCACTCCGTTGTTGGGAAGCAGCGAGCGGCGCTGCTTGTCCGAAAAGCGCAACATCCAGCGCGGCACGTTTTTCAACTTTGTCACAGTCTGAGCAGAAGATCTGCTGCCCTCAGGTTTTTTTGAACACGTCAGATCAGACTTCGTCTTGTTTGGCTTTTGGTAGTGACCCCTTATCCGCAAAGCGGGTTCCCCATTGCACGCCCTAGAACGTGCCACAGCCATTGGTGGTGACCCCTTCATACCGTCGCCGCCCATTCGTTTAGCAGTTCTCCTGCCACGCATCGACGGAGCCGCACACCTTCACCGTGTCTTTGCACTTAGACCACCTTGGTGCAGAAACGCCGTGGACGTGGTCGTTCCAAGGTGGAGCTTTGAACAATTATGTTCATATTTCCAAGACTTGCTCTCAGATTTCCTGGTCTCAGATAAGCCGCTCTGTACAAGTAATCGGCTAAGGATAATGGATCTTTACACCCGCAACAAAGCGCTTGGCACTAAAGCGACCCTTGAACCAGTAGATGAAAGAACCAGGGGCTCGTGCGGGGAACCTTCTCTCGGGAAAGCGCCTTGCTTCTAGGGAACGATGCGAATCTAAAAGGGCCACCACATGAAACTTGCAAAAGGATTGACTTTGTTCTCAGAGGGCGGCCATATTAACTACTTACCCTCCCACCAAACAACATGGAACCGGACAGGTCCCTTGAAATGGAAATTGTCTTCCAGGACCTCGTTTGTGGGAGGGTGCTAACCAAGTGTCCTCCGCAAAGGCTTTCGGGCCGCAGGTGCGGGAAGTGCCTGCCCCGGTGCCTCGGTCTTCGCCAGCTACGAGCCATGCGCCGAGCTCGGATCCGCAGGGAAACCGCGTTTTTCAGAAGATGCGCTGGCTTCTTGGTCGAGGTGATGCCACAGCAGAAGGAGATCGAGTGGGATGCGGTGCGCGCTATGCTTGGGCAGGCGCGCGCGAGCCGGTCGGCAATTCTAGCGGAGTTCGGTGGTTTTTGATTCGCGCACTGCTGACAGACACGGACAGCAAGTTGAACATGCAAGCCATGAACAATAAATCTTTAGGCCTGTTTGCGAGGCGTCCACATCCCCGGCGGACAACAACGTCCGAAACCCGAGGTTGCATTCCTTGTTACTCAGCTCAGCTGCCTGTCGCCTTTGTTATTGCTTTGAGGCCGACAGGGCAGCAGGCCCCAGTGCTGCGTCAAGTATGGCGCTGAGACACGTGTTCGAGTACCCGCGAAGTGCCGGCAATTGACCAGCACTTGCTTAAAAATGGTTTTGTGGTCACATAGATGTTTTGCCATCAGCAAAGTGCAGTGAAAGGTCACTTTTGTTGAAACTTCAGGATACCAGAGGGGATCCAGTTGAGGGGTTGGGCTGACATGTATGATCATTGCACATTCAACGAGCGAGGGGGGCTGGTGGCGCGCTCACATCCCAAAGAAGTGACCGCTCCGCGTACATTTGCCGGCAATTGGCCACCCCCTGAGACGCCGTGACACGGCGTGACACGCTCCTCAAGAACCCCTCCCAACCTCATACTTGCCAGCCTCCCCTTTCCCCTGCACCCCCCCCAAAGGACACTTGTGCAGTCACTTAGACATAAAGTGACATCGTTTTGCCCAAAATCGATGTGCCGGCAATAGGCATTGGGGGGTGCTGGAAGCAAACAAGCGAGCAAACTGCAGAGCAAAACACCGGCCACAGCAGCAACAGCATCAGCAAAAGATCCACCGCGGCGACCTGTTGCGCTGTTAATTTTTGGGCGCATTTGCTGTTGACTTCTCCGGCAGATTAGCAGTCCCGGTTTTTCCTAAATGTGCGGTCGTGAGCGACCGCAGTCGAGTGTATGAGGAGCGGCAAGTGCGGCGGCAGCAGTCAGCAGCAAGAACAGCAAGAAAGGCAACAACAGCAAAAGAAGCAAGAACAGCAAGACCAGCAACACGTAGCATCAGCGAAGCCCGCAGCAACAGCAGCCCTTGCGCAACGGCAAGAACAAAACAACAAGCTTCAGGCTGCAAAATCAACAGACTCAAAAAGAACTTGCTTTTCAAGACGTGTTTATGGAGATGATGTAAGCTGACCGTTTCTGCCAGCGCGAGGTTGCCGTACTTGCCGTCGCTCGCAAGGATGGCAATCCGCGCCAAGCCAGCCAACAATGCCTGCTCCGCACGATGTTGGCAACCCAGAGGGTGTGCAGGAAAAATATGGTCTTCCTGTAGATTGTTTTCAAGGAAGTGGACAAGAAGGCTCGAAAAGGCTCCACTTCCACGATTGCCAATAGCAGAAGAAGCACGAGCATGGTTTGCCGAGGTTTGTTTGGTGGGTCACAGGAGCATCGAGACAGCGCAAGTCGTGGTCGACAAGCTGAAGGACCAAACGTGTGGCCTGGTTTGATGGGAGCAATGGCACGGCAAGGTCTCCCAGCGTTTTGCTGTAGCTCTTGTTGCTTGTAGTGTTCCTGGTCAGGTTTGTTACGCGGCACAGTGTGTTTCTTTTCTGTGCACCATGAATTCTCGGCGGGATTGATGTTGTGGTTGGGCGTGCGTCGTGTGAGCCCAGAAAAAGTGAGCTCATCCGAGAGGCCTGGGGGATGCCAAAGGACGCTACAGGTCTCCTTTTGGTTTCCCTTCCCACATCCAGGGAAAAACTGATTCGGGCTCAGTCGCTTGGAGGAGCGCGGTGTCTGCGTGATCAAGGCGGGTGCAGACAGGCGGGGCCAGAGGATACGTTGGGGATGCCTCAGTCAGACAAGTTGTGGCTTCTAATCCGTTGTGAAAGGACACTATATATCGGGTCAGCCGCGGATCGAATTACCAAGTGCGTTCTGTGTGGCAGGTTTAAATTTTTGTGGGCGGGGATTTGATGGCCGAATGTTGTGTTAGTGGCTGAGCTCAAGCTTTGCACACAGGACAGCCCGCCAAATATCTTACTTCACCCACGCCCAAAGCGTCGAGATAGGAATTTGTCGGCATCGGTTTTTATGCTGGAAGCCTTTCGAAATTGGTCTGGCTTCTCAGCAGCTGTGTCATTGCATTCTGAGTGATTTTGCAATTTGGATGTGTCAAAATCCTGCACCACCTTGAAACCATGGAAAACCATTGTTTGTATTTACAGGGGAATTTTCAGAAACCAGCGTTTCTTAGGTGCTGCGAAATTGATTTGTCAAGCAGTACAGGTGTGTATCAAAATTGGGAGGAGCCCCTAAAATTCCTTAGGGTTTCCCTGAAACCAAAGCCCGAAAACGGGTACCGGGTACCCTCCAAAACCACGACAACCTATATGGACGAAGCCTAGCACTGGTGCGCCATGCCGCCTATGCCGCCTTCTGGCCTTTTGTTCCTAGCGGCCGGAGGCTTAGCTTGAAGCATCTTGAAGCCATCTTTCCACGTTTTTGCCGCCACAGGTTCAAACAGTATGTTCCTCTGCTAGGTCCCCCCGTATAGTGCGCTTTGACCCTTTTTTGGGGGAGGGTTCCGCTACTAAAATAGACGACAGAAAAAAGGGAACCCATATTCTAGCCTCTCTTCTGGAGGACCTAGTTGGTAGTAGTCCTTTTCAGTTTCCTCCGGCGAGCTTGCTTGCCGTCTTTCCTGAGGCGTTGTCGCTGACCGCGTCGCAGAAAGCGCCAGGCAGACTTGGCGGAAGCTGTGCGTTGCGTTTTTCCACGGCGCCAGGCTGCTACCTGCGGGATGCAAGGCCGTTTTTTCTTTTGGCCGGTGCTCAGCAGGGAATCAGGGAATGAACCTGGGTGTCCTAGAGAAACCACCGGTTGGATGTATCTCGGGCTCATTCCCTCATTCACTGCCTAGCGCACCAGGCAGGCAGGTCGTTGCTTCCACTGTTTTGGCGTGGCAGAATTCGAGCTGAGCTTGGCGCCTTGACAAAGCTGAAGTCTTGCCCAGCCAGGTTCCTCCTGGGCCCCCTGGAGCGCGTCACCAACCCAATCCAGGCTGGGTAAGCCCAAATCGCCGGTGGCTTTGGCATTGAAGAAAGATGGCTTGGAGTTGCCGCGCATTCCAATCTCATGCTCAGACCGTGTTTGATTTCTTCGAGTGTCAGCAACTTTGCGAGAAGACCGCTGGCCAGCATCCCAGCACATTTGGACTTGCATTGTTGCTAGGGCGCGGTCCACTGTAGAGTTGCCAGTCACATCTGTCGGCAGCAGGGGCAGGGAAGGTCAATTTCATAATGTTTGGTTTCAGGCCTAAAGAGTGTGTGTGTGTGCGTGTGTCTGCTTGAGAGAAGGAGGGAGCGAGAGAGAGAGAGAGAAAGAGAGAGAGAGAGAGACTTCTTGAGGGCACCTTTTTTTGGGCGGGTTGGCTCAATTAGAAAGAAACTAAGGGAAAGCATGTCTTCTCTTTTTTTGCTTTGGGGGCTGGCTCCCCTATTTTTAAACATACCCAAATTTGAACCATTGGCAGGAAGCTTATCATCATTGGCTGCAAGCGGCAGGATACAGTCAGGAACATTTGAGGTGAAGGTCCTCTGATATCAAGCGTGCAAAGCACACACACACATTACAAACACATGACAGCATGGCTACCAAACGTGTTCCGGAAGATTGCGAAGGATGCTGATGCACAACAAATCAAGCACGCGCTGGCACTTAGAGGTGTCTCACAAGACTTCGCGAAACTGATTCATGCAGCAGCTCGCGCCTTGCGCAGAATGGGAGGCATCAAACGAGAGGAGTTGTGAGCTTGCAGGGCTAACCATTAGATGTCAGCAAGCCACTGCAATGCCGATGTTGACATATCACAACGTTTGCGGATGTCGGGAACCCCGAATTTGCAAGCGCATCCTGCTCCCAACTGGGCAGGATTCCCATAGCCACTATGAATCAAGGGGTTTATCAACCAACCTGGTGCTGCAAGGTTGCACTCACTTCGTGTACTTTGGAGGGTCACTGGTCTGGGCCTCAGGCGGCCTTCGAAGTGGCAGTCCGCTCCCATCTTCTCGCACCCCTCCCACCTGAGCAGCGGGATGAGGTTTTAAAAAGCGTGGAACAAAACCATGTGTTTGGCAAGGTTTCTCCTATTTAATTGCATTTTTCAGGATTCACGGGATATCTGCAGCTTTTTTTCTGCCTTCTTTAAGGCTTTGGCAAGCTTTAGTGCCAGAAAGTCCCATGGGCTTCGGGCGCCGCCCTGAGCCCTGAGCCGGCCGAGTTCTGCAACCTCGGTGCCGGCAACCTGGGCGTGGTGGAGGAGCGAGGCGCCGTGCCTGGCGCTTAGACGTCTGGGGCCTTCAGCAGCTCATGGTGCCTTTCTTGGCTAGGTCCCTGCTTGGCGATGGGTCAAAATTACACCAGAAGGGGACCGCAGGTTTTAGTCCTTCTTTCCATCTAGCCATTTGGGGGTACCTATCTTCGCCATATTTCCCTCTTTGGTGGTTTTAAACATCACCTGAAAGGTGAGTATGCATTGGTGAGGGTGATGTTTTAATGGGAAATATAGGGAGTCGTGTTACTTGGGGAACCCTGTGGTTATAAAAGGGGGTTAGAAAGGGACACCTACAGGAAACCAGTCCTTCTGCGTGGGTTCGATTTCTATTTGGAGACAAACCCAGATGCCAATAAATATGTATATTCTTGGCTTTCCCCGCAAAAATGGAATGGGATCCCTCACAGGTTTTGGAATGTTTTGGACATGGGGGTTGATCAAAAGGTCCGATGAACCTGGGATGACCTTTGGCGGGTGGTTGTTCAATCGGTTCCGTCTCACCTTGGCCGAAAGGAAAGCCGGGAGGAAGACCACATTTTGGTTGTGTCCAATCGCAGTCTTTTTACATATACCCAAGTATATTTCAAGAGCGGGCGACATGTGAGCACCTGGCCATTCATCGAGGTCAGGTCCTGCCAAGTGTTTGGAGAAGGACGGGGTCTGCGCCTTACCGCCCGTCCCCCCCCAAGCTAGCCTCAGAGCCTGGGTCGCTTTCTTGCTCTGCCTGGAACGGGTCCTGGCCTTGGGAAGCCATCCGCAAGTTTGATGGTAACAACTGTAAAATGGGTTTTGAATGATTAAAGTGTGTGAAAACTGTTTTGCTATATATAAGAAGTAAGTTATTATTTGTAAGCTTGATGTTTGGGCTCGTTGTCACTCAGCGCGGCGGCGCGAGACGCGGCGCCCCGTGTCCAGCCGCGTAAACCGAGACGCGACAGATCGTTCATGTCTAGCGCCCGCGGAGGGGCACAAAGGGTCGCTGAGAGCGATGGTCTCCGATTTGCAGACGGGCTTGTGTCCACACCCCCGAAAAAATGGAATTGGTGGCGGTGGCCCCTGAAATTCCTGTTTTGGTTTGATTTCCTTTTGTGGGGGAATACGGACCTCTTGACAGCCCCCACAGCCTGGGCACTCAAAGCAACTCTTCGCTACCCCGCTCAAATTTTGGCTCCGGACGGGGCACAAAGGGCAAATCATCTATAGAGCTCTTAAACGCATCCGCAAAAAACAAAAAACCAGGGCGCGTGCTTTAGTGATAGATCAACACGTTGCATTCGGCCGAGCCAGCCGTGCGATTGCCCCCCCGGTTTCACTTTTCGAGAGCGCTGCGATGACGGGCTGTACGCTCGGGACGGCCTTGGGCAAGCTGGCCTCCAAGCACGGCCTTGATATTGAAGACCCCGAGGAGGCGGAGAGTCTGTCGAGCGAAGGCAAAGAAGATTTTGATGTGTGGAAGTGTGTGCGTGTGGTCAAAGTTAAAGCACGAATCCGCAGGTGTTGGTCCAATGTTTCACTTACCAGGATCCATTTGGGCACCTATTTTTGACCCACAGCCAAGTGTTTGCTTGCACGTGAGCATTTTGTTCACTTGCAAAGTGGTTCTAGCTTCGAGCTGCGCGCAGGCCAAACATTTGCTGAACGTCCTGGAGAAGGCGGTCACGGACGGCTGCGAGGTCACCACGACTCTGGTGACGACCCTCGCTACGACTGCCGCCGTGGCTGACTCGCCCCAACACCATCTTGCCCGTTCTCACCTCGCCCGGATGCACGGCCTCACAGGCCATGGCCTGTCGGGCCACAGCCTCTATGGCCTGTCGGGCCACGGCCTGTCGGGTGGCTATGGTTATGGTGACAGCCTGTCTTCCTGTCCGGAGGTGGAGTTGCCTTCTTTGCCACTCGGAGGCTCTGGGGCGGTAGGTTTTGTTTTGGAGAGCAGGTCAAGGTGAGCATGCTAGCATTTCGCAAGCCACAACGGTGCGACTGTGATGAATGAAGCCGGAGCCATGAACATTCTTGCCGTCCGAGCCTTCCCTCCATTGAAGTTTGTGAGTGCATGTTGCTTCTCTCATATCGCTTTGGTTGCATGCCCACATGTTGGATTGTTTTGACCAGCCAGTTTGCTCAGCGTGAGGCATCAGATGTGAGCCGATTTGCCAAATGGTCAGGCGTTTGGCTGGCTCTCTCTGTGATCCAAAGGTACAGCTACTTCATTGAGCAGCATCGTTGGCCCCCGCTAGCTGCCAGCAGCGCTTTGCTTCTTGGAGCGCATAGTTGTCCCACACTGAGGCACGGACCAACCGGCTCAAGGTACAACTGATCGCCTCCCTACAGTGCAAAGAACATGTGGAGGTTGACACCTATTTGGGTCGACCAGATCACCAGCAGCACTGGCCACTCGCGATGCGGCTCCATAAACAGACTTTCATTTCTTCAGCAGGTGCCCCAAAACCCATGCGTGGCCTCATGCATTTGGCACGGCGAATGTGTCACAACCCCCATATAGCAGTGAAATCAGAGCACCGCAAGGCGAGAAGCAGCCACTAGCGATAGTGAACATCACTTACTACGCTTGTACTGCTCTGAAAAGTCTCGGTCTTTGAGCTGGAGTGGAGTGTCAAAGATTCGACACTTGTACAGAAGAGCTGCGATTTTTGAGCTGGAGTTGGTGAATGTGTACCTTAGAAATCCCACTTATACTGAACAGTTGCGAGTTTCGGCGTGCTTTGCATACTGCAGTTCCACTGAAGAATTGAAGGCTACACTTGTGCTAAACAGTCAAGATGTTTGTACTGAAAATTGCGATGCGCGAGCTGAAGCTTCCCAATACGCCCGCAATGATGAAGGTAGGAGTGATATTGGTCCGATGCTCTTCGCCTTCTTGGTCAATGCATGGGAGCTTCCTCACTCATGCTGGCCCCAAAAAGCAATGGCCCCCCTTTTCTGGCAGGTTCACCGGTGGAAAATGTCCGGTTTCCCCAATACGATCAAGGAGGATCACCCAAAAAGGAAGATTTCCTCAGCCAATATGTGAAAACAAAGAAAGGAGAGGGCTCCAAATCTCAACCCACTCATTGAAAACAAGAAGCGGAAAAAAAAATAGAAAACAAATAAGTCGTCATCCCCCCTTTTTTTGTGGACAGGGACAGGGGGGCTTCGGGGCTGGTTTTGCTTGGACCTCTCCCTCATCCAACCAAAAAAGACCTCCTCCCTCCAATCTAGCGGCCCTCCAACCAGGTGGGGGGTTCAGCTCCCAGGCTAAAACGCCCCACCAAACAAAAATGAAAAGCCCATCCCTCCCATTTTTTGTTTGGAGGGGGGGGGGTTCCCCATGGTTTTTTGCCGGACCCAGGCTGCTCTTCTTCCTGCTGCTCTACCTCTTCGACCTCTACTGGCGCAACCTGCAGCGGCGGCGCGCAGCGCGCTCCGCGGTGATCACCACCGCGGAGAGCTTTGGGGTGTCCATCGCGCGGCGGTTCCTGCCCTCCGTGGCCGTGGACTCCTACAGATTCCGGGGGATGCATAAGAAGGCCGAAGGGGGGGGGGGGAAAGGGGGAGGGGGGAATGAAAATTGTTTTGTGTGGTTTCTCCTTTTTTGGGGATGCACAGGAAGGCGAAGGACGAGAGGGGTTGAAGCAATGGGCTTCCCTTTAGAACCACCCCAAAACAGGGGCCACCAGCTGGTTTCCCGGGGATGCATAAGAAGGTGAAGGGGTTGGGGGAGAAATTGGTCTGTGTGGTTTCTTCTTTCATTTTTTTTGGGAGTGGGGGGTGGGGGAATGAACATTGCTTTGTGGTGTGGTTTGCTTGTTTTTTTGGGATGGGAGTAGGGGGGGGGGAATTAATATTGTTTGTATGGTTTCGTTTCTTTTTTCTTTTTTTTTTGGGGGAGGACACATGTGTTGTGTGCGTGAATGTGTGTTTTTTTTTGGGGGGTGAGTGATTTTATTTTATTTATTTTTTTTTGGGGGGGGGGGTGCTTCTTGGGCTTTTTGGGGAATGAACACTGAAGGGAAAACGAAGCTAAAAGACAAAGAGTGGGAGATAGGGAAACGGGTTGAGCAGCCAGCAACCCAAAATGGGCGACACATTTTGGGAGACCGCGAAAGTGGAGACAGGGGTTCGGAGCCACGTCCCTTTTGTTTTTGGAGCCCCAAAAGTGGCAAGTCCAACAGAAACCAGTCAATTGATGAACTTTTGCAGAGGAAATCCGGAGTTGCCTGGGAGAAATGGCCCTGTTTCTTTGCAGAAACCACTTTTTTGGGGTTGGCTTAAAGGAAGCAAAGGAAACCCACCATGTTGAAACAAACTAAGAGGAAATCAAGAGAACGGTGTTCCAGGGTCAGCCGACGGGCTGTGCAAACTGGAAACCGGCACACCCATTCATTTCCGCTCATTTGGGCCCGTCACTGTTTTTTTGTGGGAGGGGGTTTTGCCCGCCCATCCCCCAAAACGAGCTGCCCAACACATTCCAACTTCTTTGCCTTGGTTCTCAAAATGGAACCCTCAACATTGACGATCTTCCTTTCGTTTCCTCAAAACGCCGCCTTGTCTTTGTTCATTCTTTGTTTTTTTTAACGCAACCACCGGTGCGTTCTTTGAACCCTGGTTTTTCTTGTTTAACGGAACCAACGGGGTGCGTGGTTTGAAAACCCACGCCCGGGGGCTTCGTTTCTTGACTGCTATTGGGTTGGATCTTTAGACTTTCACTTTCTGGGAAATCAAAGGGGTGTTCCTCTCAACCCCCAAAAAAGAAAAAAAGAACGAACAACTTGTTGCAGGAGGGTCAACAGCAACCCAGTTTTTGTTTCCACGGCGCCGTGGGAAGACGAAGCCGTGGCGCTTGTCTCAGGAGGCGCCGGTGGGCATCCGCTTCCAGGAGCTGGGCCTGCAGCTGCCGGACGGGCGCACGGTGCTGGACGGGGTCAGCGGCTCCTTCCACCCCGGGCGCATGGTGGCCATCATGGGCCCCTCGGGGGCCGGGAAGACCACCTTCATGCGCCTGGGCCAAATAAGGGGCAGTGAGTGGGCGGGTTTCACCTGGCAGCAGTCCAAAGCGGTAGTTGCTCAGCATTCGCCTTCCAAAGGTTCAAAGCCGTTTTGGGATCCCATTTTGGGATAGGTGCACCACCGATTTCAGGCTTTCTTTTAGTGGGGATTGGGATGTTCACTGGGGGTACGGGGTTTTGACCCATGGCCAACAAGATCTTCGTTGCACTTCACGAGGTCCCGCAGCTAGGTGCCAACTTTTACCGTTTTTCTTTTTTGGGGAGGGTTCCCCTACTAAAGTAGACTACAGAAACAAGGGTAACCTCATTCTAACCTCAGCGCACACGTCAACACTTTCCCGGGTGAAACCAAACCAGTCGGGCAGTAAGTTGGACCATGAACAAGTTCACTGGTTGTTTGGCGGTTCAAGGGAGAACCCAAGAAGAAGTTTTGATCAGGTTCCATTTCGGGCACCGATTTTTGACCCACAGCCATGTCTTCAATCAAGAAGCCATGGGCCCTTAGGAAAGAAACCAAATTTGAAGAGCTTCGGAGTGCGGCAAGCAGCGTCCAAGAACCCCGAGGCTTGCGCAAGCATGGCTTATAACCTATGAGGCCCTAGTAAAAAAGGCGGGAGGGAGGGGGGGGGGGCCTCAAACACTAAAA